GTCACCATACTGTGTGTCAAACGTTCCCATCTGTATAGAGCGAAGCTTGAGTGTGAATCTCGGACCCACCTCATTCATTGCAATACGCTCCTTTCCTGGTTCTTGTGGATCGCTTGCGCCCGCAACGCGATGCTGATATCGGAAGTGACGGAAAAATATGAAGTCACGTTGATTGTGAAACACAACAGTCCGGCTGTGACCTTCGGGAGCTTGTCGGCTTTCGTTTGGAAATAATGCACCAATCAAGCGTTCCGTGCGGCGACCAAGCCGTGTAGTAAAACGGGTAGTGATCAGATGTGGGACGATATCCGGTTCGATATCTTTGACACGGCGACGACCTCGCATCTCACGCCGTAATCGAACATTTGAAAGGCGAAAAGTGACGGTTGGACCATGAGGTAAGTGGCTCATAACCATGGTGTTAGCTCGCTTTTGATCTTCGTTTATAACGATTAAAGCAGTGAAACCATGAGTGATTGCCTTGGGTATGATTTTTTTCAGCGGTAAATGCCATCTGGCAGCCAGTTTGATATTTGGGATAACCTAAAAGAGCCAAACATCACATGGATACATAAAAAAAAATCAGTCAAATTAAATTTCACCTAAGAACTGTAGCACAAGAAGCAATGTCAAAAACATTAACATGATGCTTAAATCAGAAGCCACCTAGAATCGCGCATTTATACGATCAATTGTTATCTAAGACCGTGATTTTTTAAAATCACACTTAGATGCGAAGTTGTAAAAGTGACCAGATAGAGAAGACATTAACAATGGAAGGTCTAGCAATGAGATCAAAAATTAACAGAAAACCAAAAATTGGGAAGAAAATATTTAACACCTGAACCCCAGATGACGGCGGTAGATAACTCTTCCACTGCCCGGCTTACTGCTATATTTGATTTATTGACACCCCCGTGGTCCGCCACTCCAAGTCTCTCAACCATGGTTGCAGGATTCGTTCTCACAACATAAGCCCGACAAGATAAAATCAAACAAGTTCTCGCTCGCTCTACTCACACGCAAAGTGAACACGTACTCGTCACCCTCACCAACATTCGCGGACTGAACCGCAACGTCGATTCCGTACACCAATTTCTCCATTTTCGTTCTCCTGTCTCTTTTAAACGGAAACACAAATTTTCCCCTCGTCAGACACCACCTAACTTGAAGTCCCCAAACGCATTTTCTACCCAAAGCTGGCGTCTGCACCTAAATCCAATAATCAGTTGCAGCCTCCAGAACACCACATTTTGGCTCTCCCAATCGTAAATATCAGCTGTGACTAAAGCTCCAACTTTCTTCTCTCAGCTATTACTTTTGTATTCTACATCACCCCCAGACATCGGCGACTCCTCCATCTTTGATTTTTTATCTTCGAAAATTCAACAGTTGCGTGAGACCGACTCCAATTGACGTGTTACAATCTTGAGATTGCAACTCGCACAATCAGGAATAGGTGATACATTCTTCTGTTACTTCTTCTCTGGGGCGCGAAGCCGAAGGTTTCGCTTTGGTCAACAACCCGAGCCAAATAGTGGACTTCCCCACACGCGTCCCTGATCCAGTTGGCGACTGTGCTCACATCCTCAATCCAATTCTCAATTCGGACCCTTCTATCTTCTCAGATATCTGTACTCCCCCTTTACGAGGCTTACCGGATCACTGTATTGTTTGTTGCTCCATCAAGTTTACTAGCTCCGATGCGCCACCCACTTCGAGATACATTCTGGCGCTACATCTTAGCAAAGTGAGGAGGTTTTCTTAGCTGTCGTCCGGACGAATACCATCAAATCTAGTGGGGTCTTGTGGTTAACCGCTCTATGACAAGGAGCTAATGTTTGCTATGGCCTGCAATCGACCGCGCGAGGCACACTGATCGGCCTATGCGCCTTGCAAACACGCACGTCATATAGACGTACTTGATTCGTCTCCGCGAATCAGATGTCAGTATTATTTCTGAACATGAGTTAGAATAGAATCATAGCGTGTGCATACTTTTACCTACTTCTATGAAATAGTTATACAAAAGGTCATGTCAATCACGGTCAGGAATCTACCTACCTACCTACCTATCTACTTATCCGCATCGATTGGTCCGTTGACTACCCAGCTAGAGGGCATTCTGCTTTCTGGTAACGCTTGCGCCAGTTGTTGGCCTGCCTGATCCGGGTTTGACTTCCTGCCTGTTTGCCGGCCCACAGACCGCTTACGCATTGTGTGTACACTGCAAATAGAGGAACTGCTCAATTCACCATGAACTTATTTATTTGCCTAAACGGGTCACAACAGTTTCCGGGTTCTAAGACCGAAAGACCGATTCGAGTGATTAGGGGATTTATCCGGTCTGTTGATCACCATACAGGTATGTAATAAAAAGACAATTTTTGTGATAAGGCAATTCTTGAATTGTCTGGAGGCTTAAAATTGTAGTAGTTTAGAAGAGATGGAATGGAGTGCGCCGGTCAGTAATAAGGGGCACGACTGTTTTTTGAAGTTTTTCTTCAAGAGATTCCGTTAGAACAGATTCATCATTATTCACGGAGAATTTGTCACAGAAAGGAAATACGAAAGAATTCAGAAGCTGGGTGATTTTGGATCAACCTATGAAAAATCTGAGATTCTACATTGAGTAGCCAAAATATAAAACAAAATAGGGAAAACTATACGAATCCCTGTGAAAAAATGGACTACACACAAGTCTCAAGCTATCAGCCGCAACAACTTACTTTGACTAATTCTTTGCAAAATCCGACAGTTCGGGGACAAACACGATCCGAGAACGTCAACAATATCTTTGGTGATTTCTCTCCACGATAAATGGGACAAACCTCATCCTAATTAAGTAAATAGAAAGAAAAGTATTACATACAACTTCTTCCTCCGCAACCAAATCCGGGTCATCCTTCGCAGTCACCGTTTCGTCCAGTGTGCGTAGGGTCTCAAGTGTCTGAGGAATACCGGCAGGAGTCCCGCTTTCTTTGCGCATTTTACGTAATTTTCGATGTTCCTTGCACTTTTTAATTTTTTCTTTGAGTTTAATATCCCTTGCATGGTGACGCGTTGTCTCTTTCCGCGACGGCATTTTGTTCTATTTGTTTGAAGAAGCCACACCAACACAGTAACTCGAGCAAACGAAAAATGGCAAAATAGCGAAGACGTCCACTTGCTTATCGAGTAACAAACGTCAATCTGGGCGGTTGAGCCTTACGAGGGCTACGCGACACCCTGTTGTTATTCGTGCAACGTACAGGAGCCCACCGCTTTCAGCAATCAGTACTACACGGCAGAAGGTTAATTCCAGGTAACCCGATCCGAGTTTCTGGTGCCAATAGCGCTATCAGAATGCCGCAAGGGTGTCGAACTAACTCGTAAACGCGACCCAACAAAGAAGCTCTCAATGAAAACGTAGGAGACACTTCGGACAACAGGTTATCCGTGGGAGGGGGATTTCCAAACAACCTGCAAAACGGAAATACAAAACAACCATGAATTAAAAGGTCTCGTAAGTCATGCACACGACTTGCACTCAATCCAAAATGGTGGCGACGTGCTCAATGCACATAGAGTTCCACTACCCCCGTAACGTATACATGGTTAGTAATAGAATTTAAGGTGGACAGATATTGGACTTACTTTGAGGGAAGGAGCCAAAACTCTATGGTTAGCAAACAGAGTGCATAGTTGCACTCTGCAAACATACCATTTCAAGCATTCTGGCATGATAAGAAATGACAAGAACGCCGCTGCTGTCGGTTTGCTGCCATATCTTTTAATGTCTCCAATCAACCAGTTGCGGAGTCTTTCGGACCTCAGCCGGGAAGGCGCGTGACACCTACTCTACCTAATGGCTCTGTGCATTTATCCATGCTTCGCCTCCACGTCATCTAACTTCCATGTAGTTTCCTCCAACCCGGAGCGGCTACAGCGAATAAGGCGCGATGTGGTAAACGTTAGCTGGGTATACGCAATACATCCCTTGGGCAGCGAATTCTGCTAACCTGAATTCGATGTGCTAGCAGGTTTATGCCTGATAGACTTCCAAACACAAGACGGTTTACCTCCAGATTATTAACCGGTTCGCTCCATCCCACCACAAGAATAGCTCGCGGAACAGTCCACCGTGGGTGCCTGTACTCAAGTACTTAAAAGGGCTTCAAAGATTTATAACGATTCCACCCGCGACACCAAATGTAACATCCAGGACTTGGCCCACCGCTAGCACCAATTCGTATTACACGGCAGGAAGTTGATTCCGCATAACAAGTTCCGAGTTTCTGGTGCCAATAGCGCTGTCAGAATTCCGTGAGGGTGTTCAACCAACTTTTAAACATGGCCCAACACCGAGACCGTTAATGCACAGGTAGGACACATTTCGGGCAACAGGCTCTTTGTGAAAGGAGGATTTCCAGGTAGACCTGAACAACAACCCGCTCCCTTTAGGCAAGAATCGCACTTAGATACTGACTACTCATAAGTAGCGCGAAAACGCTTATATATGAAATCATAATCAGAAGACTGGATGGTGCATATACAGTGCGATTACTCCATCGCTTCACATCGTCTCGTCCCGCTCGCCCGTGACCTCAAACAATTAAATACCCCCTGACCCTTTATTTGATCTGATTGGATCATATTCCGCGATCTGTGGCACTTGGAATGCCCACCCCAACACGATACTGTTTGATTACCGGCTTGTACGTTTTGTAATGCCCTTGTTGTCGCGTTCAGTCCATCCGTAGGCTGATAGCACTCCTGCCGTACAGTCGAGGTTCACTGGGCCTGCCTAAGTCTCACGGCTGTAATCAAGGTGTGGTTTCTCGATCGGGTTAGTTGGGCAAGCACCAGGTCCTTTGTTGCGGCTGAATCACCCGACCGATCGGTAAATGAACCCGATCGGACGTGATTTTCAGGCCGGCACAGGAGGAGGATAGGTTCCGAATTCGATACTGCCTAAATGTTAATAGAGAATCACAAGAGAATCAGTTGTGGAGCGGTGCGCCATGTGGGAAATTCGAAATGGAAAATGCTCAAGAGATTATGACGCTAGGCCAAAGCTTGACTCGTCTAAGATATACGCACTATTTTTCAAGCGGGTTCGGTAAACAGATCATAATAAAACATTGAACTTATCCTAATGACGGATAACAATATCCCTTAATTTGAACATGGGTGTGGTTTGTAGCTCAGGTTGACGGTTTGTGGGGTCTTGTGTTCGCTGAGCTTGGCGTTTGGATCGCAAACATTTGCGATCTAAACGCCAAGCTCAGCGAACACAAGACCCCACAAATATCCTCTAATGTAGGCCCACGCAAAACTCTTCTTGTTTTTTTCCCAACTGACTGTTTTCGCGTTGAACGATCTCGCTATGTTGAAGAGAGAATTCCAAAAGAAAGAACAAATATTATGGAAAAATGCATATTTATTTTGTAAAAGTTGTTCAGTATGTTTTCTATTCTGCTGCTCGTATAGCAAAATCCGGTGAAGATAGTTTTATTCCACCTTCAGAATAGTGGCAACGCAAATAATTTCGCGCTGCGCCAGAATACTCAGTTTAAGCTCCTCGATCGTTCTGGGTTTCAGGGAATAAACGGTTCGTTCTCGATATCCCCATAGAAAGAAATCCAAGGGGAACAGATCAAGTGACATTAGAGGCCATTTCTTTGGTCCTCCTCGGCCAATCCATCTTCAGTTAAATTACGAGTCGAGGAAGCTTCTCACCACCAGAGCATTGTGACGGTGCGCCGTCATGTTGGAACCAAACTGTAGTTCTAACGCCGGATAGCAGGTACCAAATTTGCAAGTATGAGGAGCCTTTAACAATTCAATAAGCAAATTGTTCTCATCTGTTACGTTTCCGTCGAAAAAGTACGATCCAACAATCTGGCAGTGCACAATACCAGTCCATGCAAACACCTTGGGACGAATGGCTCTATGTTGAAACCGATCAAGAAGAAAAAGAGAGGTGGACGGAGCTCCATCCCACACATGACTGCAGTGTTCAAGTGTAGGGCGAATCTGAGCTTTTTAAAGCAAGAGGTAAACGGGGATGAAGAAACGTCTGGCGCGGAAGAGGAATCCGATTTTGCGCGCAGCGGGGAAAACAAATATAAGATGACCATGAAAGAGAAGAAGATAAAGAAAGACCCAATAGGTTGTATGATTCTGTGGAACGGAGAATGTTCGAGTTGAAATTCAAGGAAGGAGAGAAAGACGTAGTTAAGAGAAATGGGCATAAGGGAACTTTTACTGGCATTTAAGAGAACGCGGTTGCGACAGCCCCACGCAGAAATAAGGCCCAGATCAGAATTTAGGGAGAAACTAAGGGAGGAGCGGTCGTCACTAATGCTGGAGTTAGCGATGTGCGAAGAGGAATAGGACAGAGAAGACTATAAAGTAGTCATCAGCAAAGGTGTGAATAGGATTTGAAGAAAGGTTTCCGTCTGTTGGCCGCCCATATAGATAAAAGAGCAGAATGAAGATTGGAATGTTGAGAGCAGAGTCAAGCGGAAGATCGAGAATTCATATAGGCTGATGTTACAAGAATAATGAGTAGATGAATGTGCGATACTTTGCGACACTTAGTCGTATCGTTGTATCTCTAACCATCGATGATCATGATTTCGTGGTCCGTAACCAGGGAGCCTAATGGAACTTTTGTGCCCCACTCTCCTGGTTGGGGTTTTTATACCCTTATACCAGGTCTTCGTCTGACCGCCCTTGACCTTTTTCCAGCCGCTACCTACCTCGGCAAACATCGCGCACCGCAGCAACCTATCTGGGGACATGCGTAACACATGCCCCAACCAACGTAACCCATGAAGGTCGACTCCCTGCTCCAGTGGACGCCCGCAACTACCTAAAACTCTACGCCTAACCTCAGCAGTGCTCGTTCGGTTATCCCACCAGACTAGTGCAACGTGACTTAGACAGCAGTGTTCGAAAACCGACAATTTATTTTTATCCTCCTCGTGCAGTGGTCAAGTCTCTGCACCGTAGAGCAGGACTGGCTCAACCGCTGCAGCATATACTAGACCCTTCACAGACAATCGGATGTCGTGAC